TGCAGGTGCCAATGTTTATGAACATGCACGTGCGTATGTATATGTATAAGTTTACGTAGTTGTATACGTAACGTTGTATATATGCATGTGCCTGGTTGTTCGTCCGTGTTTACACCGTACATGCTTACTTGGATAAACATGGTGTGTGCTTATATGTATGTATACATAGGTATGTGTGTGTGCGTGCTCTGGCGGGTTCGCGCATCTATCTGCAACCACCTGCGTGCACATCGCGTCGACGCAGCGCTGCAACATGCGTGCGTGCGTGGCACGCGCGCGTTGCCCATGTACGCGGCGCACAAATTGTATACGATGTGCATGTTGCGGGTCAAGTCTGCTCAGCCCCTCCCCCACCGACGTCCCAAATAACCCCCTCACCAATGCCCCTGCACGCGCCGCCGCCCACCCAGTCCCGCCCCCGCCCCCTACTCCCCGTCGAACCCAGCTAGCCCCCCCTCGAACACCAAGCCCTCTAGCATTAAACGTTCAAACGTGTACTAGGGGTAGGTTGGCGTGGGAGGCGCGCGCGGGGGGGGGGGGGGGAACGCGCTCGGATGTGGGGGGGGGCGCGTGCATGTGGCCCCCGCCCGTAGCCAAGGTGCTGGCGAAGATCTTCGGCGACAGCGCAACGACGTGGTGATCTCCAGCGGCTACGCAGTACAACACCCACGCAGGCGGTCGAACGGCTGCGGGTTGTGGAGGCGGCCGAACGCAATTCGCGTTGGGGGGGGGGGCTGCGCGGGGTGGCCACTAGGGTCGCGTGGGCGCATGGCGGCGGTGCGCGCAGCTGCAGTGGCGCATCGTTGGAGCTGCACGCGCAACTCCAATCATGCGCCCACGCAGCTGCGCGTGCCCCGCGACGCGCCCCCCGACCCCCGAGGCCACTTCGCCGTGCCTCACCTGACGCGCGCTGCGCGTGGCCGCCTCCACGATCGCGCAAGCGTTGCCGTGTTTTTTTGTTGCTGTTCTCATGCGAATCATGTTGGTTCCATGCGTTTCAACGTTCAGATTTGTTTCTGATGTCTCACGCGTTGTCATGTGTTTTCATGTGTTTTCATGTGTTGTCATGTGTTTTCATGTGTGTTTTCATGTGTTTCGATGTTCTGTGTTTTCATGTGTTTTCATGTGTTTTCATGTGTTGTCATGTGCTTTCATGTGTTTTCATGTGTTCATGTGTTTTCATGTGTTTTCATGTGTTCCGATGTTCCATGTGTTTTCATGTGTTTTCATGTGTTTTCATGTGTCATGTGTTTTCATGTGTTGTCATGTGTTTTCATGTGTTGTCATGTGTTTTCATGTGTTGTCATGTGTTGTTTTCATGTGTTTTCATGTGTTGTCATGTGTTTTGTGCATGTTCCTGTGTTTTCATGTGTTTTCACATGTGTTGTCATGTGTTTTCATGTGTTGTCATGTGTTTTCATGTGTGTGTTTTCATGTGTTTTCATGTGTTGTCATGTGTTTTCATGTGTTGTCATGTGTTTTCATGTGTTGTCATGTGTTTTCATGTGTTTTCATGTGTTGTCATGTGTTGTCATGTGTTTTCATGTGTTGTCATGTGTTTTCATGTGTTGTCATGTGTTTTCATGTGTTGTCATGTGTTTTCATGTGTTTTCATGTGTTTTCATGTGTTTTCATGTGTTTTCATGTGTTTTCATGTGTTTGTCATGTGTTTTCATGTGTTTTCATGTGTGTTTTCATGTGTTTTCATGTGTGTTTTCATGTGTTTGTCATGTGTTTTCATGTGTGTGTTTCATGTGTTTTCATGTGTGTGTCATGTGTTTTCATGTGTGTTTTCATGTGTTTTCATGTGTTTTCATGTGTTTTCATGTGTGTTTTCATGTGTTTTCATGTGTGTGTTTCATGTGTTTTCATGTGTTTTCATGTGTTTCATGTGTTTTCATGTGTGTGTTTCATGTGTTTTCATGTGTGTGTTTTCATGTGTGTTTTCATGTGTTTTCCATGTGTTCCATGTGTTTTCATGTGTTTTTCATGTGTTTTCATGTGTGTGTTTCATGTGTTTTCATGTGTGGTTTTCATGTTTTCATGTGTTTCATGTGTTTTCATGTGTTTTCATGTGTTTTCATGTGTTTTCATGTGTTCTCACGTGTTTGCATTGTTCCACATCCGCGTGCACTTAAGTGCACCCCGACGCCGCCCTTGCCATGTTGTGTTGTTTGCGTGTGCGTTCGTAGTTTTTTTTTTATGTATACGTACATATAGGAAAGAAAAAAAAAAAAAAAAAAAAAAAAAAAAAAAAAAAAAAAAAAAAAAAAAAAAAAAAAAAAAAAAAAAAAAAAAAAAAAAAAAAAAAAAAAAAAAAAAAAAAAAAAAAAAAAAAAAAAAAAAAAAAAAAAAAAAAAAAAAAAAAAAAAAAAAAGGCTGCGCGCAGGGGAGTGGGGGGGGGAATGCCCCCGCTTGGAGCAGTTCGCGCGCTTGCGCCAGGCGTGCCCCGAGCGGTCCTGTCGCCTGTCGGAGCTGCCCCCCCCCCGCCCGCCCCCCGCGCGCGCGCCACGTGCGTGCCCGCGCGTAGCCTGCGCGCGAGTGCATGTGCATACTTGATTTGACGGACGCGCGCGCAAGTACACTTGGGCGACTACGCGTGCGCATACCCGAGTGTGCGTGCACGTGTGCGCATATATGGGCGTGCAGACATGCAAAGGCAATGTGCGTATTGTACGTACACATTTAGTGTTCATACATGCACGTATACATACATACATACATACATACATACATACATGCATGCATACATACCTACATACATAGCTACATACATAGATACATATATACATACATACATACATACATACATACCTGCGTACATGCATACATACATGCATACATACATACATACATCCATACATACATACCTACCTACCTACATACATACATATATACATATATACATACATACATACATACATACATACATGCATACCTGCGCACATACATACATACATACATGCATACATACAGGCATAAACAAATATACAAAATATATGTATATAGACATCTATACGTGTGTATGTGTATATATAAAATATATGCGTACATGTATAGTGTATACAGCTATACATCACGCCATGCGTGACCCCCAGAACCCGCGACCAAGGTCGGACGGCCGTTCTGGTAAAACCCCACCCATCCCACACCCCGAACCCCTCCTGAAAGTAGCCGCCAACGCGGCCCGTACCCCCAAGTCGCAGGCACATTCGGTCCTTGCCTGTTCAGATCCGTCCGGTGCATTGGATGGGGCGGGGGCCCAGGTGACGGATGCCGCCCAAGAAGGAGAAAAACAAAAAGGTCCGATCAGATCTTTAAATTGGGACGCACGCGTGCGTCCACGCATATACACGTTCACACATGTGTGAACGTGCGTGTATGCGTGGACGCACGCGTGCGTCCCAAAGATCTGATCGGACCTTTTTGAAGGTCACGGACCGCACCAGCACGGCAGCAAAAGAGAAGAGAAAGGACAAGTCGTCTCATGAAAATGCGATGGCCAAGATGAGGCACCTTGGGTGTGTAAACCACGGGAACGACACACACAGACACGCAGTTTTGACATCTTGGTTCCTTCTGATTTCTCACGTTGGGTTCTGGAGGGGTGGTCGCGGGCGCGATGGCCCCGATCGTACCCTGAGGTACCACATGGAGAAGACGCGGCCCGAGTTGAAGAGACAGTTCAAGCGTCTCAACCGCGAGAAGAAAAAAGAATGGTTGAAAAAATGGATGGCCGAAGGCCGCGACAGGGCAGACTTGGGGCAACAGTGCGCAACATAACATGGACTGGCAAGTATGAGAGATGAGGAAGTAGAGGAGGAAACAGCACGGGAGGGAGAAACACATTTGAGGGAAGAGGAAGCAGGAGGAAGGGGTAGGGTGAGTAGGACGTAGGAGGGAGGAGGTGTAGGGCGAATAGGAAGCAGGAGGAAGTAAGAGGAATGAGGGGAAATATTGAGTTGTGACGGCCGACGATGACGTACCCTTCCTCCCCGCATGCCAGGCGATTTCGACTGGGTGAAGTCCGAGAAGAAGGAGTCAATGTACAGCGACGGGGGCCAGAGGACCCGCGGGCGCTGGTACACCAAGGACGATTTGTTGCGCATGTTCGGGTGGGACAATTCCGCGCCCACCTCCGACATGAGCGTGAGGATGCGCTGTTTGTTTCGGGGGGGAGGGGGAAGGGAAGCTAGAACTGATGAGGGGTGCACTCGAGATGTCGCACTCCGTTCGTCCTGTTTCCATTTGTCCTGTTGCTGCTTCGGCCGTGCCAGCGGCGCTTCAGATGCTTGGCACGCACACCCCCCTCGAGGTCCCAGTTGTTATGCCCATAGCTTGTCATCTTAAGTCAGCGAGCCCCACGTTCGCCGACAGCCCCCCCCCGTGAAGGGTAAAGTATCTCCTGCTGATTTCGAATGGACGCCTCCCCTCAATTCAGCCCCCCCTCCGACTATGATCTAACTACTCCGCTCGCAGGGCCGAGCAGCGCACCCTGGCGCAGATCGCCACGTGCGAGCAGTTCAAACGCACTCGCGTGAAGGAGGGGCGGGGAGATGCTCTCATCATCGTCACAAGTGTTATCGATCCGATCCGAGTCCATAGATGGATCGATTCATTCCGAGTTGGACTACGATGGGGGGATAACGAGCGTCGGCGGCGCCGACGATCACTCATTGGAAAATCGGGGCAGGTCGACCCCGACCACGGAGACGTGATGTACAAGCGCTACGATGACGAGGAGTTTGACACGCAGGCCGTGCCTTGCGATTGCTCTTACGTTCCTTTCCCCACCCGCCCTGCATCGCCCCCTCCTACTATACTGTGCATGGAAACCACTTGCTACACACCAAGGCCGTTGCCATAACCCTGTGTACATGCAGATTGCTTGCCGTGCTGCGCGGCACGCACATCCCCCTGCTAAGCCGATGTGCCGTGCGAGGTGGCTGCTGTGAGTGAGCGAGTGGCATGTCTCCACTTCTTCCTCCCACCTTCCCTCTGCACCGCTGCTCGGGCCCACGCGCAAGCTCGAGCGCTGCGCCCTCCCCCGCAGGGCAAGCGCAAAGAGATCTCGACCACCATGGGCACCGACAAGCAGGCGCTCGACAAGCGCCAGAAGGCTATGGTCAAGGCCAGCGGGCCAGGAGGGGAGGGAAGGAGAGTCGCAGGAAACTGGTGAGAAGGATAGTGCACGCGAGCATAAGGAGGACCAGGGTAATGCAGAGTCGGCAAAAGGTAATGATAGCGATGATGAGGGTAATGGCGAAGGGGCTGGGGGGAATCAGGGAGATACACCAGCATCATGAGCGGCAGCAGGGTGAGTGGGATGCCGATGCGGGAGGACTCGTGATGAAGATGGCGAGGTTTGAGCTTACTGCCATTGGGAAGTGATGATGCTATGATGGTGCTGCTGCTGAGGATGATGGTGATGATGAGGCGGAGGAGGAGGAGATGGAGGAGGATGCGGAGGAAATGAGGATGAAGATGGGCATGCTGATGTTGATGATGATGATGGTGATGGCGATGGTGATGATGATGCTCACCATGATGATGAGGATGACGATGACGATGCTGATGATGATAACGAGGATGCTTATGACGATGGCGATGATGATGATGATGATAGCAACAATAACGATGCTGATGATGATGTTGGTGATGCTGATTATGCTGATGCTGATGATGACAATGATGGTGGTCGTGATGCTGATGCTGATGATAGTGGTGATGGTGATGGCGATGATGATGGCGATGATGACGATGATGATGATTATGATTATGGTGATGATGCAGATGGTGATGTTGATGATGCGCCTGCGTCACCAGATATGTGGCTTTTCAAACGCGTGGATGCCGACTGATGTGCTGAGGGGCAACGGCGATACTGAGTGTGATGACGACAGCGGTGCTGATGATGCTGCTGATGACTATGCAGATGAAGATGGCGGTGGTGCTGGTGTTGATGATGATGCGGATGCATGTGGTTGGTCTATTCGGATGACGTGGGGCAGGACGCACAAACAAACCATCATTGCAGCTGCGAGGCCGAGAGCGACAGCGACGATGACGAGTCGGGCAGCAGCTACAGCTACACGTCGGAGGACCGACGCCAGGGTTGCTCGGTCGGCAGCTCCTCCCGATCACCCCACACACATACACAAACACGCACGCACACACACACACACCACACAATTATATAGATGTACGTATATACAAACACCTAAAGATTATACATGCATATATCAACATGTGAATCTACACGTGTATGCATGTGTAAACAAAAAAACGTATATCTTAATCTACCTAACTGTATGCACATATGCATGCACGTCCGTGCGTGCCACGCCTGGTGCCCTCAACCCATCTTCTAATGCATGACCATCATTCCCGATCCCATCACCATCAACTCCTGTCCCCACCCCCACCCTCCCCCATCGCCTCCACGTGGATCCGTCTCGGTGCTCCCGCCCCCTCCCCCGCCCCCCAGTCGCGCCCTGCCGCGCCGCTCTCATCTCAACATTTCCCTCCCTCAAATGTGTATGTTCCCTGTCACCCCTGCTGCCCCATGCAACCGTCATCCGGGCGTCCCCATCCCAGGAACAGGCGGCTGCGGGTGCTGCGCCTTCAAACCCAGCGACTACCAAGCTGGGCGAGCTTGTCAATGTGCTGGCTATCTTGCAGGGCTGGAAGGCCCCTCCTGGGAGGGAGGTTGTGTTAACGTCAGTAAGCACTAGTTCAGAGTTGTTCACTCGGTCCTCGCGTTGACTTGCTCGTTGAGTGGGGGCAAGCAGGAGACAGGAGGAACACATCAACTGTGCGAGCGCTTCGGGCAGCAATGCCCCTGCTTGCGCGCTCGTGTCATGCTTGGCAGGCGGCGGACCACGCCTGGCTCAAGCACTGGGACACCCCGCTCAAGGAGTGCATCAAGAACCTGATGATATACGAGAAGGTCCTGAAAGAGATGGTACAGGGCGGGTCGTCCAGCGCTGCGACGGCGATGGAGGAGAGATGATGACGAGGACATGCAGGTGGTATGAGGCTTGAAGGGTTCAAGGAAGGAGGGGAACTGATCGAGGGAGGGAGGGCTCGGGCGGGGGAGGAACGCAGAGGCATGCATGGGGGCGACATCCAGGTACCCCGAGATAGCATGATCGCCTCAGTCTGCACCCCAGCGGCGAGTCAGGTCTTCGAAGGAGTTCCCCAAAGCCTGCACGGCGATCGAGGACGCAACGAAGCTGCACGGCAACCTCGTGCCGATCATGCAGTCCGTGGCGGCGGCGCTCGAGAGCGCTAAGAAGAAGTAGGAGCAGGCTGCAGGTTACCCCCAGGATCGGAACGCAGAGCGTACGTTGTCGCTCAAGAGGTTACCCCTAGGATCGAACCATGTCGGTTCAAGACATTTGTAGGTTTTGACCGCGGTTCGGCATCTGACCCTGGAAATGAGCTCTGCGTTCTGGCCCAGCACCCGCCTCGGGAAGGAGGCTGCGCTTTTCTTTCAGCGTCACAATGCTGCCTGCCCCTCTCGTTATACAGGTTTTCTTACCCATGAATCCTGGGGGCGTCACCGTGTCCAGAGAGGGGGGCCCACACCCATCCCTTGAAGTAGATGCAGCGGCATTGTGATGCGCCGTAGTTTGAACGGCACATGCGGCTTGTGGATACGATCGACAAGCGTGTCGCAGCGATAGTGGAAAATATTGTGCGAGCTCGGCGGGTATTGCGATAATGAGTTGGCCATGTTGTTTGTATCACGTGCATTGTGATTTGCGAGGCGTGGGGTCATCCACATCCACCGCCTGAGGAACCGACCTCCGCTGAGACGGGCGATGGACGTCCACGCATGTGAAGAACGGTAGGTTTCCCAGGCGGTGGCTGCTGATGCACCCCGTCCTCGGCGTCCTCGGATTCATGATACTTAGTTCCATGCACGGTACAGTTGCGACAACATGTTGCACGCCAGAAGTGTTCGGTGAGTTTCCCGCCCCAGCGCTGGGTCGGCTCCTGTCGATTCCTCCTGGCCCCCCCGTGCCCTCTACGAGAAGCGGTGGCGGGGTGGTGATCGTCTGGTCCAGCGCAGTTTCTGCTTCACGTGCCATCGCCTCGAGCCACGCTCGCAGATCGAGCCCCCGCCCATCCAAAGTGAGTGTCTCTCGGCATGGCTGGGCGAGCCGCTGGCGAGGGTATATTGCTTGAGGTGGGCAGCGGGCTCTCTGCGCCATCGAGGTCGCGCGTTCCCGAGTCTCGAGCTCCCAGGCCTGATGGGGGCGCAGGGCTGAGACGCTACTTGCTTTCGAAGTACAGGAGTGGGCACATGACGGCGAAGGACGTGTGCAGTATAGCATTCTATTCGTCGGCTGCTGGATCTCAGGGAGTGTCTGATTTGGCCCTGAGCCCAGATAATCGGCATCACACGGAGCATTTGAGACGAGTAGTGGATGCTGCGACCAAGGACAAAGCAAGGAGGAAAAAACACTCACCCTTATCATCGTCCCCTTTACTACCCGCTTCCCACTTTCACTCTCCGCCCTCCCCGTTCCACTTACCTCCTCTCGTACTGGTGGATATGGATATGGGTGGGCTGTCTTTTTCTCCACAGGACTCGTTCTACACAGCTGAAATCCCCATGTGGGACTCTGAATGCGAGGAGCGTCGGCTCCGCAAGTTCCCCTTCAGTCTTCCACACGAGCGTTTCGCTGCAGAGTTCGAGAAGAACCCCAGTGATTTCGACGTCGCCAAGGCGCGGAGATGGCACGCATAATTCTGACCATACGGCCTCCTGGGGCCAGTTTGTTTTGGGCGGGCGGCAGTGGGGACAGCGTTGTTTAAGCGAATCCATGAGGTGGCCTCGGGTGTGTTTTGGTGTGGTGTGGGATTATGCGTGCCGCCTCAGATAGAGCAGCACGATCTGCCCAGCACGTACGCGAACCACCCCGTGACCTTGGAGCACGGGTGCAAGTCGTTCCCGATCGGCTATTTTTCAGACGGTGTTCCACACACTAAGAACGATAGTTTCATAGCACACTATTGGAATAACATGTATACTGCGCGCAGGTATCTTATCTGCGCCGTCCGAAAGAAGGACCTATGTAGATGTGGGTGTAAGGGCTGGTGTACTTTCAGCGGGATTTTACGCGTGATCGTTTGGAGCATGCAGGCGTTAGCATCTGGCCTTCATCCCGAGTTTGATCACAATGGGTACCCGTTCACAGATCAGGTGCGCTGGGCCCACCGTGGGTTCGAGATCGCCGAGGGCACTCGGGGCGCCCTCTGCGAGTACAGGGCGGACCTACTGGAAATGACCGCCCTGCTCGGCTTCAAGACGTGGCAGAACCCGGCCACGCCCTGCCTGGCATGCCGCACCACGCGCGCGGACATGTTCAACTTCCCTGTGAGCATGAACCGCTGCCGCTGGGCACAGAGAGATAATGCAGACTATACCAGAAGCGTTCTAGCTGCCATGACACAGCGGATGGTGGCCGATCCAGACCAACTCCAACGACTAGTATCCAAGATGGCCCACGATGAAGTTCATGGGGGGTTTGCGCTGACAGAACCATTTCCCGAGTTGCAGTTGCTGGCTGGTCATAGGGTTGTCGAGGACGAGGTTGTCCAGGACATTGCTACCATAGCAGACCTCCCCACTCCAATTATGCTTACTTTTTTTTACTCGAAGACTGATGTTGGCATCAACTTAGTGTGCCCCCTGTTTAAGATCAGGGGGTTTGGAGTGGAGAGCATCCATTTAGATGGCATGCACATACTAGATTTAGGCGTTGCTCAATACCTAGCGGGCCTCGTGCTGCACACACTTATAAGAGGTAATTTCGCCCAGTCGTCGGCCTCCAGAGAGGAGGCGCGGCTCGCTGCAAACATGCGGCACCTTCGCCGCAGAATGAAAGTATTTTATAACATGAGACGGGTTCACAAGAATAACTTGTCGCGCATCCAGCATCTTCACTGGAAACAAATTAAAGGAGACCCGCCAATATTAAAGGCCAAGGCGGCACAGACGCGACTACTAGTGCCATTGCTTCCAACACTGTGCAGGGAATACAAACGATTTCTCGGCCACAAGGGCCACCACTTGCACATGGCTTGCACTGCGCTTGCCGAAGTGTACAGTACTATGCAACGAGCTCGCGGCCGAACGATGTCTGATGTCGAATACAATACCATGGCCAATGCCACTATACGTTTTCTTAAGTTGTGGCAGTTGTGTGAAGGACACCAGGTATATAAACACCATGGTTTTTTTGATTTAATCCGTAGGGCGAAAGACCACGGGAACCCAGCCAAGTACTGGTGCTACGCAGACGAAAGCATGAACAGATGTATGGGGACCGTGGCCAAAGCTCTGCATCACGGTCCAAATTTTTACTTTGCGTTCCTGCAGCGCATCCTTATAGAGCTATGATCGGGCGCCGCATCATGACCATGATCACCCGCATTACACCCACCACCGTGATCATCATTATCGTCATCACCATCATCGCCAGCATCATCATTATCATCATCACCATTTAACACCATCATATGTATTCAATGAAATGTATGCGGTGCCCCGTAGCTCCGTTTCACACGCCCTGTAGCACGGTTTCACACGCATGCCAATTTGCAGGCCGACTTGAGGCTTGAACGTGCGATTGACGTAGAACACCCCAAGGAGAATACGCATTCCTACGTGCATGTACGTGTGTGCGCTGGCACACTAAATGCCTATGTCCCCTCTTGCTCCCACGTACTCCTCTTCTGTTCTATGTCCTCGTTCCCCTCATGATCTTCCTCCAACCCCCCCTCCTCCTCCTCCTCCTCCTCCTCCTCCTCCTCTTCCTCCTATTCCTCCTCCTCCTCCTCCTCCTCCTCCTCCTCCTCCCTCCGCCGCCTCCTTTTCGTCGTCCTCCCCCTCCTCCCCCTCCTCCCCCTCCTCCTTCTCCTCCTCCTCCTCCTCCTCCTCCTCCTCCCCCTCCTCTTCCTTTCCTTCCTCCTCTTCCACCTCTTCCTCCTCCTCCTCCTCCTCCGCTTTCCTCCTCCTCCTCCTCCTCCTCCCCCTCCTCTTCCTTTTCCCCCTCCTCCTCCTGCGTATTTTCCCACTGGGGTGCTATTCGACGTCGATGGCTCTGCGTGAGTTTCACCTACGCGCAGCAGGGATATCTGCGCAGGAGCCCGAGTAAAGCTCGATCCGCCGAGGGTGCCCTGGACAAAGTCGCCGCGCGAGGTGGGGCAGCTCATGCAATGTTGCCTGTGCCTGTGACCGTCCCTTGTCTTCTCACCAATTCATTCTTCTGCTCCACCTATTCGCTCTTCTGCTCCATGGAAATGAGGGAGGAGGAACGACAAGGGAAAAACAGGAGGACGAGACAAATAAGGGAGGAGGAACAACAGGGGAAAAACAGGAGGACGAAACATAAAAACAGGAAGGGCACGGAACAGGAGAGGAAGGGGAACAAATAATTACTTACATGTGAATGGCTTTTCTGGGAATTAGCGTTCGTGAATTGGTTTTTCCGAATTGAATGGCTTTTCTTGAATTGAATCGGTTGATTTCTCATGCAAGTGCGCATGCTCCAATTTTTCTCATGCGCCCAGATCTGTGGGGATGCGGCGGCGGCATCGTCGACGGGGAGCGCTGTTTCGCGGGGGTGTGGGCGCGCCGGTGGCGGCCGCGGTGCTGGTAGGGGCACCGTAGTGCCGAGGGATCTTTGGGGGGACATGTTTCGCACGGCGGCGACTGTTGGCGATGGTGCAGAGCCGCCAGAGCTGCTCCCGCTGGACCGGGATCTGTGCATGGCAGCCTACGGCGTGTCCCAGGGGGATGTCACCAGGGAGCTGCAGTGGCACTGCGGCCACGGCTCTGGCGTGGGCATCGCAAACCTCGGCAATACTTGCTTCGTGAGCGCAGTCGCGCAGGTGCTGCTGCGCCTGGCTCCCTTCCGTCGGCTTCTCCACGAGCACGGCCAGAATTGCCCTTTGAACACAGAAACTTGCCCGGTGTGTGCGCTCGGAGCTCAGGCCGCGGCTCTCTCTGTCCAGGGCGTGGGGGTCGACGCCGTCGCGCCGCTCGCTACTGCCGCGCGCGCGGGGCTTTTCGGTCAGCGAGAATTCACAGAATTCGATCAGCAAGGGAGACCGAAGCAATGCGACGCGTCAGAGTTCTTCCTGGCCGCCCTTCGTGCTGTCACCGAGGCTGGATATCAAGTACCGACACCGCATCACGGTGCGCGCACTGCGCTCCAGCAGCACGTTTGCGGCATTGCTTTGCGGCAGCGGAGGCGATGCGACGTGTGCCGGGCAAGTTCGGACACGGGGGTGATTGATTCGCGCTTGAAGCTGGTCCCTTCCGAATTGCTCGGCCCCGACCACCGGGGGCCCTGCGATCTGGAGGATTTGATCCGACTGGAATTGAGGCATATTGGCGGGCCAGGTCAAGGATGTCCGGCGCACGCACACCTCAGTCGTGCGCAGAGGGAGGCGGCCGGGGTCTGTCAAGGCATCAGGGTGTATACGGGCAATCGCT